TTGTTTTAATTGAAATCTAAGGGATCCAAAATTTGCTCTATTTTTTCACTCGCAAAAATTATATCATATTTCTAAAATATTGGTTATTACAATTTCCCATCCTTATAAAATTTTATCCTCGAAATTTTTGAACTCCACATCAATTATATATTTTATGAGGATGAAACATAAAGTGATTATAAAAGTTTGTTTCTTGTGAAGTGGTATTTATAATATATAATTTAATTACACTTAAAATTTTTAATTTCTATTATTTATACTTAATCCAATTATCATATTGACTCTTTCATTAAGATTCATATTATTTAATCTAAACCTCTTGCTTTGATATCACTTTGTCACGATCCGCCCAGAGGCTTGGAATTAACCAAGAAGTGACAGATGGTGGCGAGCGGTGGAAATCAATTTCTTGTCATTCTAATTATATCACTAACAACTTAATGTTCAAATAACACATAAAAGAGCCATTAAATAAAATAATTAAAATTAACAGATAAAAATTTCTATGTTTCAGGTTGCTGAACTCACCTCCTATACACATTTGATCCTATTCTGTTCATGCTTAAAACCTAAAATAATATTAAAGCAAAATAATGAGTTATCTAAAGATAACTCAGGCGTAATCACTCATCTAAACTACAATAACCCAATGAAAAAAAATTAATATGCATGCTGATCCTTCTTGTCTTTATAAGAAATCTTATAATATACTGGTCTTTCTAATTTCTATAAGAAAACTGATAAATATGTTAATACATGTATCAATGACATTTTCTAAATGAAAAAATTCAAATCTTCTATATTCATTTACTTCATCTTTACTTTTATTTTAATACTTTTTACATACAAGTTTGTCTCTATGAGGATCACTCCCAACAAAACATAATACACTCTTGACTAATATTACCTTATCGGCTCCCGTTGGCTAAGCGATTAGCGATGTAAGCATCGAAATTGTCTAGGATGAAAAAACTCTTACCTGCATTCTGATCAATATTATTCCGTCGGCACAACGATTAATAATGTAAACATCACAATTGTTTGGGGAGGTAAGCTCTGATTTACTCGCTCCTGACTGATATTATCCCTTCAACACATCGATTATTGATCTTATAATGACAATTATTGAGGGTGGTAGAAAAATTATACGCGCGCGATTTAACTAACGTTCCCTTTCTGTATCATTAGGAGGTGAAATTCTCTTCTGAACATGCATATTCAATTATTCATATATAAATTATTTCATTTTTCATAATATATTTATTTTAAGATATCTTTATGTATCTACTAACATGCATATTTACTCTGTTGTTCAACTATTCATCATATATATCATGTATATCTCTCAAAACATTCATTAATATTTATCTCATGCATATATCTTTCGTATACCATGCATATCATTTTCCATTGTGCTTATCATGAGTATCTTTCCTGTTATGCCTTACATATCATTCATCACATACATATTTTTCATGCATATCTATCCTAACCAACAATATGAAGAAGCTAACTAGACTATAGCAAATATGGAGTTAAACATACAATATGAAATAACAAAAAATTACTAAAATTTAGAAATATAATTACTCACCTCGGTTGCCACACTAAATTCTTAATTTTCGGTAACTAGTTGGATGTTGCAGTGACTTTTATATTGAGCTTAATAACATATAAAACATAATATTAAACTTTAAGATTTAAATAATTCTTGTTAAACAAATTATTCTTCTTTGCTTAGAATTAATTTACTTGAATTTTACGGACCCGTCCATGAATATCTTTCACAAGTTTGCCTTAAACTTGTCACCTTACGTGAACAATCTCAAACAGGCTTTTCGACACAAATCCGCCTTTCCGAAGCTTGCAAATATCTTTCCTCTTCTTCCCAACACTTCATATCTCCTTTCCCCTTCATTGATTTCGCTCTAAAGCCCCTACAGAAACTCACAAACCATTTATGATACTTCCGACACAAATTTGGCGCCTCCAACAGCTACTTGAAACAAACAATGCACGAAAAATAAGACAAATCACAAAATGAAAATAAGAGAAAGGGAATGAATGTCTTAAATAACATGAAAAAGGGTTTCGTGCTCACTGATTTCACCCTGGAGCCCTAAAATGCCGACTGCAACATTGTGGAAGCAGCTCTGTTTGTGTGACTATAGTAGCAAAGCCCCACTTTTGCGGGAAGAAAAAATCAAGGAGAAATATGATTCGTCACTCTACGGCTCGTGTGACTCCACTAGGCCTCTCGCCCCTCTATGTTCACATATGCTGACTAAGCTGCAATCACAACTCCTCGTAGGAGCTTCTGCCGAGCGTAACCGAGAGAAAGGGAGGGACGTGCGAGCAAAACCTAGAGGGGGAGAGGCAAATTGGGAGAGGAAGAAGAAAATTCAAGGCTCTGGAAGCCATTTGATCGAATCCCTCGAATAAAAAGACGAGAGAGGCTGTTTGGAATAGTGAGGGAATTAGGGAGGGTTAATTAAATGGTTAATTTGGTTTAATTAATTTATAATTTTTATATCTTTCAATCTATTCATAATTTATATATAGTGCTTTATATTTTGATTGGATGCATATAATTTGATAAATTTGTTTTGATTGAAATGTGAGGGATCCGAAATTTGGGTTATTTTTTCAGTCGCCAAAATTTATAAAATTTCTCAAAAAATTATTATAGACTTAATGTGGATGACCATAAAAAAATATTGCAAAATTAAAATTGCAACGTAATTACTTTATTAGATTAATTGATTCTCGTCACACCATTATAAGACAGTCCTCAATGGCTTCCCGATGCATGTGCTTAAATGGTTTCCTCAATTTGATGCCACCTCCATTTGGGTCAATTTTCATTTCCTTGACCAATTCATTTATTACTCTTTGGGATCTATCTTTAGTAAATCTTTGTAAGTAAACACTGCTACTAGTAATCATTGTGTGGCCAGAATTTTGATTGAAATAGGCATTATTACATTATAGTTGAAAAATATGATGCCCACTTGCTTAGAGCATTGCGGTTTTTGGTAGAAGGTAGTTTTTGAAGGTGTTCCTCTATATTTTTCTGTAAAAAAATTGAATACGATCTGTCAGAGTGTTTCAAATGTCATCCAAAATTGAGATTTTCAAACGATCGTGTGAAAGTGGGTCATTAAAATTCTACTCTCTTGATGATTATTGCTCCTACTTCATCGCTTCAGGTTTGCTTTTACAATATGAAACTAGATTTTTCTAAAGATCATGAGCCTACTATGTCTACTAGCCCCATGCACATGTGACACTTTTCTAGGGTGCCTAGATGGTGTAAGAGAACAGAAAAAAGAGTTGGGGGAGCTGTGTGATGGGTGACCAAAGTAAGAGGATCATTCGCGGCTGAATGTCGGCGTGACTGACGGCTGCACAGCGAATCAGAAGACTGAAAAGAGCAGTTTTGTGCAGCTGAGCGGCCCTTTTCTGCTGTCAAACAACAGGAGCAGTGAGCAAGGATGGCTGCCCAGCTGAAAATGGCAGATAGATGGCGTTTGGAAGGGAATAGTGGATTAGATCTGCTGTTGGACAGTAGATTGGAGGAGTTTGACCGCTGTCTGGATTGAAAATTGTGGGTCGAACGGCAAGTCTAGATACGGGCGGTGAGGAGGATCCACCACCTGTTCCTGAGCAAGATATTCCACTTACGAAAGAAAGATGATACAACACTCCAGAGAGCATAAAATAGAGAATAAAATCTCCAAACACAAAAATCTCCAAAAATAGGAAATAACAAGTTATAAATAGTCCCTCATAAAAGAAACCTAATTAGAAATCGAGAAAGGAACTTGTGGGATTGCGGAATCCCGTTGATTCCACCACAATTCTAAAATTCCACATAATCTAGCGGAAGTGGATAGCTCCCACATCAACATGGCATCTATAAAATTCCACAATTCTAAAATTCCACATAATCTAGCGAAGTGGATAGCTCCCACATCAACATGGCATCTATATCTTCTACAAACAAGAGTATAGATTCTTAATTTCCGGTTATGGCTACTCCTCTCCCTTCCATTAACAAGGATGCAAGTAATCATGATAATCAAGATTTTGAAGATCCTGGTGGGAATGCTATGAGTGATGTGTTTTGGTGGATAGGAGGTTTCAAATTCTATTTATTAGATGTTGCACAATAAAATTTGTTGTCAGTCTCTACCTCTTATTAGGCATCAGGCAGGGTGAACCAGTTGAATTCTTTATCTGCTATTTTGTTTTACTGTGTTATTAGATATTTTATCTTTTTTCTTCTTTGATCCTTTGTAATTTCTTTTGTACTCTGGGATTAGTTTGTTGACCATTGTGTTGGTATTAAATCACGTTGAACAAGTTTTTGAACATAAGGGAAATAGCGTTCAGCATTAATTTTAAGAAATTTTTTTCTTTTAGTTTTACGTTTGTTTCAGAACTAGAAAAAGAGGAACCAAGTTGGAACTAAATAAGTTTAATGTGTTTTTTTTATAAATGCTCAAAAATTTGTGCTTGCGTAAAATGTACTATCAAATTTATTTTTTTTACTAATCTGACAATTATGATGGAAGATTAATTGAAATTTTGAAGTCAAATTGCACACTTCCGCATAACATTTTTTATTTCCTTGTCTATTTCTTTTTCTTGTCCTTTTTTTCTCTTTTTTCTTTCTTTTCCTTTTATTTTCTTTTCTTTACCTTGCAAGCTTTATTATGCTGTTATACTGCTTTTAGAAAACCATAATATTGGAGTTTGCTAACTGTTGCTCTTTGTATAGCTATCTTATTATTATTTTTTTAATGTAATCCCTTTTCATTTTGAATGTCTTCATATATGATGGTTAATTTTAACAACCTTCTAGTTAGTTTCATAGGATTCTTTTGTTCAATTCTGTTAAGTCTTCATGGATCTGCAATTGAATATGTACCCGAGAGCAGAGATTTGCCCACTTTAATGTAAATCTTAATTTATTTCCTTTTAAATTTTGTTTACAGTAGGCCAGACGATTCTTGATGGGCTCCAACTCGGTTGATTTATTTCAGAGTTCTACTGGAGCTCACTTTTCCGGTCTTCACCTCAATGAACTAGAAAGAAGAGATTTTAATATCGAGAAACCAACTTCATCTGCTGAAAATGCTCACAGGCAACCTTTTATTATAGGTTACTGCTCATTCAATGAATTTTATTTGGCTTCGTTTTTTTAATTTCTTTTAGTTTGATTGGGTTCTTGTAGGATCATGCACTGCATTTTTTTGTTTTTTTGAACCTTTGGTTGTCTGTTACTTCATATTTCCTCTTATATTTTCAGCTAATCTGATTTGATGTGGTTAGTTTAATGATTGATACGGTTGGACACTGCTTTAATGCATAATGAAGTAAGGGATTGTTTGAGAACAATTTTGTTTTTTTTTTTTGTTTCTGTTTTATTTTTAAAAATATATTTTTTTATTGTATTTTTTACGTGTTTTTTTTTTTGCTTCAAAAAACTAATTAATATGTTTCTCAAAACAGTAAAAAAAAATTTAGGTTTTTGATTGTTTTAAAAACAACCCTACTTTAATCTAATAACCAAACATGTTTTATTTCAGATCAAAAAAAAAAAAACAAAAGATGAAACATAAAACAAAAGTTATCCCAAACAGCCCCTAAGCTTTATCCTAACTATAAAAGTAATTAATTAGTGTTGGTTGTGTAGTCATTAATGGAGAAAAAAGAATTCATGTAGCTGACCCCACTTAGTGAGATAAAGACTTGATGTTGTTGTTGTTGTGTAGGCATTAATGACATTAGTTGCCTGTTGATTTACCTTGGTAAGTTGCATTTATATTGAGCACGTGATAACTTTCATGATGTTCTCTATTAGTAATAGGAGCAGATTGCTATAATCAGGCGTAAAAAGAGATTTTTTTTGTAGTGTGAAGCCATATAAGAGAAAGCACAACATCCATAAAATCCTAGAACATTTTGGGATTCACTCATCTTCAATAGTGGAATATGCCTGCACTTTGTTTTTTATTTGTTTCCCCTTTTACAATTGACTGATATTCTGGTTTTAGCTTTTATAATTTTTAAGCATAATATTGTTTTAGAAATTTTATTGTGCTGGTTTAGACAGAGCTACAACCCTATGCGAACAAAATTTTTCTTCATCTCTTTTTTGGAGAGAATTAGGGGATTCTTTATGCTTGAAGTCATTATTTACAATTCAGTGCTTGTTGTTTTGAAGTAGGTTTGACCCAGATTTAGTTCAGGGAATTAACTACATAGGAAATTTTTTTTTTTAAATTTCTGAGGCAAGGAAGACTCTTCTTTTTATGGCTTGATCCCCTGGTGTATATGGCCTCTTTTCTTCCTGCTTATTGCTTATTCTATATGAATTGTTGTAGCTTAGGAATGTTAAATTAAACTTGTCTGTTGCAGCTTCACTTAGCTTAGGCTTGCAACCGTTAAAAATCCTCTTATTGTAAGGTTCCCATGTAACTGTGAACTAATCTGGCTTTGGTGTTTCTCTTAACATGCATGTTAAGAAGGTTGATGAAAAATCTCTTTTTCTAATTGCATAATTATAGAACATGGATATTGCCTATTTTATGTGTATAGCTTAGTCACTATACCCTGCAATGGCTAGGGTGAATGCATTCTCCCCCTTAATCACTATGGCTGACCATGATTAATAGAGGATCTACGGGATATTCTTTATGATAAATTTTTTTATTTTCATTTTTCATATAATAGCATTGTGATAAGGAGTTTATCTTAATGGCTTATTTGAATAGCTCATCTTCCTTTGGGTTTTATCGTCAATGGTTATAAAAGCCACAATTTAATCTTGTGGATGATGATTGAAGCTATTTTTTTCTTGTCTAATATTCTTTATCTATTTTCTTCTTCCTCCAACTTTTGGCAACTCCCCTTTAAACGGAGCCCTAAATCTCCTCACCTGATCCCTAATGCAAGGATCAATCTTATTTTGCTAAAATCTGTCATGGCTAAAACTTGCATGGGAAGGGAACTTAATTAGGGTTTGGGCTGCTACATGCATGCAATAATCTTGTTTTGCTCCTCTTTTATTTACTTAAGAAAATTCTTATATTCGAAGAGTTCAACATAAAGCTTTGTCCTAATTTTCATACCCGTTTCATAAGACTTTTGCACCCCATCTCCAAATCAAGAGATTTATTAAACATTTGTGCTGTTTTATTATTATTATTTTTTTTGTATTCATAAACTTGGTATTAGAGAATATACTATCGTGGTCAGATCAAAGGATCGGAAGGTATACCCTAATAATTCAATGGAAGCAAAAGCCCTTGCATTAGATGAAGTATCATTCCAGTGACATAACAATAAGATATATATGGCTTTAGATGGGTCATTTTTTCTAATAAATGTCCAGCTAGATGGCTATTATGAAGGCTTCCCTTGGAGATTTTGTTGATAAGGTGTCGTCTTTTTCATAACCCCCAACTTTAAAACCAAAGGAGACCCATCAACCAGGACAAAATAACCTAATCCATCATCAGGGTGAGAAGTAATTGAGATTGAACAGGATTGAAAATTTTTTCTGAATGGTTGGGACAAAATTGGAGTCGCCTTCGATGTCACCATTAAAGTTGAGGTAATTAATAACTTATTTGAGCTTCTTGAAATGTATGCCATGTTTTATGATTATCGTTATAGAAATAAATTTGTTTTTTATTAGAATTTATCATCACTTTCTTTAGTGCTGTAATTCAAAATTTAGGAATAATGATTTGTTAACCTTGACTTGATTGAATCTCAAATGATTGTTAAAACTTAATTCTAATTTATTAACTAGGAAGTAGAGAAGTGGCTCTTAGGGTAGAACTTGAAGAAGGAATTAAATAATGAAAGTTTCGATGGGAGGCAACTTCAGAAATTTAGCTATCAGAGAAATCGATATTCATGAGATATTTTGTGAGTCATACCTTAGTATATTTGGATATTGTCTACTTTAGAAGAGAGTAGATGTCATACCGTAGTTAACTTTCTCAGGTCAATCCAAGGTGTAACAATGCAGGATGCTTCGATAAAATCCATTTTTATAACTAATACACATTCTGATTTGTACTTATCAAAATCAAATGAGATGAAAATTAATCAAACCAAAGCGTCACTAAACCAATTTATATTTCAGTTCTTCAAATATTTATTGACCAAAAAATTTTCATAATGTGTATAAAGCAGTCATCAAATAAAATCTAGAACTTCTAAAAGTAATTTAAATATAAAATCATACATACCAGAAAAGTCTTTATTTACATCAGATATTACTATCTTATATAAACATCGAAAATTGTACAATAAAAATTATACTGATAGACATGTCACCCGATTAACAATCAACCTACTCTATTTTCCCTGAAAATCAATGTTATAATATCTAATAAGCTCAATACTTAATGGGATTAATAAGACTAAAACAAGATTCAAACACAAAAAAATATAAAATGTATGTTTGTCCGCGACTGATATAAGTAATTTAATTTATAATCACAACTGACTTTGTACATCAATACTAATGGATAAATATAATTGAATCCTTAAATAGTAAAGAGAGCATGACTAAAAACAATAGATATTACATTGGTTATAAATAAATAAAATTGCTACTAGAGATCTTTAATTTACTATAATAATCAATGTCTCAAATGCATTCACCTCACTTTCATTTTTAATCTTTATTTTCAACATCATTTGTCTTGAAAATGTCATATAATACATGTATATAGGCTCGACATATTAAATTTATAGGTCGTCGCTAGCTCGTCAATTATGATAACTGCTGATAAAAGTTGATCAGTCAACTGTCACTTATTAATGACCCCTTAATATAAATAAACTGTTTCAACCTTAATATCAATAGTAAAAAAAATATTTATTATTCTATCCAAGTTGTAACTTTGGGTGATCAAATCATTAAATTGTGTGAATCTTTTAGATATCTCGGGTCTATTGTTCAAAGTGATGGTAATTTAGATAAGAATATTAGTAGTAGAATTCAGTTTGGTTGGTTGTAGTGGAGGAATGCATTAGGTCTTTTGTGTGATAAAAAAGTACCGCTTTGACTTGAAGTAAAATATTATAAGATGGGGGTGAGACCTGCAATACTTTATGGTGCAGAATGTTGGCTTTTAAAAGATAAGCATAAAGCAAAATTAAGTGTTGTTAAGGTGAGAATGTTTAGTTGGATGAGTGGCTTGACACTTCGAGACAAAATGTGAAACAATTCTACCTATGAAAGGGTTGGTTAGCTCCAGTGGCATACAAGATTAGATAGAGCCGTGTTAAATTGTTGGGCCACATAATACGTCGACCATATGATAATCCGGTTAGGAGAGTAGATGTTTTAGATTCAACTTATGTTAAGAAAAACAAAGGTAGTGATGTAGACGTTGAATGTGCTCCGCAGCTTCGGGGTGCTTCAATCCCGCTAAATTGTGAACCTGCCACGCTTTGTAGAACTGTGGGGCGGACCAGATTGTTATCTCGCGCGATGGAGAAGGAAGCAGATCGCGAACCCTCACGATCTAGGTGCTGCTTCGTGTATCTCCCACAACCATTTTCTTCTGGATTCTTCTTACATACCCATCCATTTTCTTTTGTGTAGAAGTGGGAGGCTATAAATAGCTGTTCTCTATGTACGAGGCAGCATTAGTAGAGTTGCATTTTTATCTTCTGTATGGAGTCTCTTCCCTCTTGTTAATGCTATATCCGACGACAAATAATACTTCGGCGGTATCCTGCTTTGAGGTGTTGTAAACTTCCAATCTCCTTCGCTTCTTCTCATCGACCCCTTTTCCTACCACTCCCCTAGCTGCCTACCACACCCCATATGCCTCCACCACTCTCATGCCACTCCCACTTCCCCCACAACCTTGTTGTCCTACCTACAACCAACCAAACACCATCACAACTTACCCAAACAACCACCCGAACTTTCACCACCGCATCCAAACATCTTTCTATATCCCTAACCGGAGGATTTACTTATTATTGAATTTCCTTCCTATTTGAGTCAGGTTGTAATTCATATTTCTATATTAATAAAAGTTTGTTTTTGTTCCACTGTTCTTTCTACTAGTTTTGGTATCATTTGGTATCAGAGCTAGCTTAACCTTTGTTCCATTCTAGGGTCT